AATGAAGACCTAATATTGATAATAATGAAGACCTAATATTGATAAAATTAATGATAAAATTGATAAAATTACGGAATGTCACATCTTTGGTATTTAGGCGAAATTCGTGAAGCACAACAAAACGATAATTTAGTTGGAAATTTCAATGAAATTGATAATGTTTTATGCTTATGTAAAAAGAGTTTCACGAAAACTGTCATTCCTTTTTCCTTAAGACCTAAATTAATTGAAATTACTCAAAAAAGTATTAGTTCATCATGGGATTCCAAAAACAATTAATTTTCTTTCTCCTGTTTAGTACTGGGAAACTATTACTTCAGATATTACATATTTTAATAAACTTTGTCATACTTGTCAAATAAATAAAAAACCTAGACAAAAACGATTTGCATTACTTCAAGCAATTTCCCCAGTTGACAAACCTCGCAAAATAATTGCGATAGTTAGTATAGGCGGTTTTAATTGTTATAATTTTACTAAAACTATTTAACCTTCCTTAATGATTGATTATCATACTCGATATATTTGGTCTTGTGCGACTAAATCTGTAACAACAAAAGCATAGTTTAATTTTTTGCACCATTTTTTTCCACATTCAAACTCGTAACGCATCATTTATATCTTCTCATTCTAAAAAGTTTCAAAAATTAAAATTTTTCTATTATATTTTCAACCTATAAACCGGAAACAAATGGAAAAGTTGAATATTAAGGACAAACTATTATAACTTTGCTTAAAATGTAAAATTAATGATTTTTGATAAAAAGAAATTCCTTTGCCTAAATTATTAAAAGAAGTAACTAACGAATGCAATTTGACTTCTCGCTCGGTAACTAAATTTTTCATGGATGATTGACACTGTCCATTTACTCATCCTCTGTCAAAAATTTCTCGAAGTCATTTTCTTAAGCAACACTAAAGTCCTGAACTTCAAAATAACGACCAATGAACAAATTTTTTTAATAATAATCTGAAGTTTAATTTCAGATTGAGTTTTCTTTCCGATAACAAAATATGTCAAAAAAATTTTTTTTGCCTTTTATGTTTTCGAATTTTTGCGTTTTTAAAATGTATATAAAAATTTAACATTTCGATAGAAAACTTTGTTGAATTGACTTCTTATGATATTTGTTAGGGAAAAATTTAATCGTGATCTTTAAAGAAACATTTTTAAAACTGAAAAAAAGTCAGAAAAACTATGAAAAATTAAAATTAAAATTCTTCAATATTTTGGTAACACTACTATAGAATTTTTTTTCTATTACATTTCAATTGTGAAAATTTTTATAAGTTTTACAAAAGAGTGTTTTTTACAATTCTTTTTACTTTCATATATTAACTGTATGTGTCTCTTTCATCTTAATTGCGCTTTTCACAAAGTTTCCTGTGTATTGCACTTTTTTTCTTAAATTTTTTAGATAGTAATTCACATTTTGGGGTGTGTCATTACAAGCTTAAACTAATCTTTTTTATGTTATTTCTTCATATTAATTCTCCTTCCTAATTTATTATTGAAAACTAAACGAATTCTCATATTTTATTACTCACATCCGCCTTTTGGTTCCATTTTTAGATAAAAGCATGCAATAATTATTATTTCAAGTTTTTCCCTCAAGCCGTGAGAACCAGCAAAATTTCTCTACTTATTTTTGAGCGATTAAAAAGAAATAATAATTTCCTTTTTAAAATACTTTAAGAGTTCACCAGGATAATTTAGAGAGATTTTCTCTAGTTTTTATCATACACTTCGATTTTGTGTCACTTGGATCATCGTTATCTAGGCATTTATAGTTAAACAGACATTGATGATATAGTTTTTAAACGTAGAATATTTTTATTCTTACTTACATTTTAATATCTTCAAGGATAATAAACTAAATGGATATAACTACGACAGTAATTGCAAGATGATTGATACGTTGCTGTTTGGATATTTAACAAAGAATATCGGATAGTTAACTATGTGCGATGTTGCTGTCTAGTATGAGAATGTTAATAATACTTACGTGAGACTTTGTGTTTCTAACTACTTTGTGTAACTTTAAGACTACTATATGAACAAGTAGGTGTGTTTTCCGCTAAACAGAATTGATTGAGATAAAGTTCGAGCTGATAGGTTTATAAGTCCTGAAGTTATGAGGATTTTTTTCATAATAAGTGCAACTTAAAAATAGTACTTTATGTTAAAAACAATCTATTTCAGCTTTTAGAATATTAGCCCTTTAGATTCGTATTTAGTTACATTCGATTAAGCGACAAAAAAAACATTATACTGCATTATCTCTCTGTATCAATCTCAAAATTAACTTCTCAAAACAGGCAGAATTTGTTTCATCTCGACAGCAATTTAAATTTTAGATTTTCGACTTCACTATTGACAAGGATTTTAAAACTTACCAAAATGGCAAAACACTGAATTTAGTATTATATTAAAAGAATTTCATAATGTATGCAAGTGACAAATCGAATCTGTTTCTCATAAACAGTGATTTGGTACGTTAAATTTATCTCAATTGTTCATTACATGCATAAAACATACAACAACCTAGCATTAATATTAAACTTTTATTGAGTTTTAAAACATATCATAACTATGAATTAAATAATTCAAAAAATAAATATTGTATTATAAATAGATTTCAAAATTTTAACACAAAATTTCAATTTGCATGAATTTTAAATTTAACTTTTAGAAGTATACAAGTTTGATCACAAATAGTTTCATCACAAATAGTTTGAAAAAATATATCAGAATTTTGCATTGCAATTTTAATATTTCATCTTATTACAAAAAAGCGTAGAAAGAAACATTTGAAGAACATAAAATGTGTTATAGGAAAAATATTTCAATTATATAAAAACAATAACCAAATAACAAAACACTTTACTTTATTAGGAAAATAAATAGATAGAATTTCAAAAAATATATAAATTGCAATGCGTGAAGATTAAAAATATAACAAATCTGCTCATAAATATGGAATAATTTCTTGTCATCGTGAAACATATTGCAAGGAATTTTTGAAAAATAAAAATTGCTTTCTGACAAGATTTCAAAAATATACAAATTTTTTAATATAAGACAAACAATATAATGTAATTGAAAAAGAAACAAATTAAAAATATATAAATATCGATACAAGAACATACAGAAATATCTTATTGTTATCCTAATCTTCAAATAGATTTATTGTTAATTTTTTGAATTATAATAATACTTTTATAACGTATAGCATAAAGATATAAAATATCATTCAAATAACTATTTCTTTATTCACCATAATAATTACGCAATACTTCGAGTTGATCGATGTTGTTTACATTTACAGAAGAGAATACTGAAGTGAAATACGAATAATGAAATTCAATTCCATATTGAAATTAGATGTCTCCTACATTTTTAGTGAACTGTAAGGTTGTTTCCAGACATGCTTCTCCATTTTCTTGCGGTTTTATAACTTTCCTTAAATTTCTAGTTTAATATTTTTTTAAAGTTTTAAAATAAATAAAATAATTAAATATTTTTCTCTACTTCAGGGCCGTTATCTTAAGAATCTTAAGGGGATGGCAAACAATCTTTGTATTGATCTCTTAGACTATTATCGACGCTGTTATTCCTGAACAAACGTTCAAAAGTTTCCACAGCTAAAAGTATATTATATTTGGGCTGGCAATGAGGTCTTACATACAAGGACATCTTACTTTTAATTTTACTTGCNGGATAAATATTAAGCTATGATCCTAATATGTACATATATATTTTTGTTTTCATATTTGGTACAGATTCGAAAAATACATAATGAGGGTGGTCTTTAAAAAACACCCTGTAAACGATTATTCAATTTTCAATGATGCTTTTTTTTATACAATATTTTTTATCTTCCTTTCATCAATGTTTCAGAAACCAATCCAGTTAGATTTTGTTTTTCTTAGATTATAGATATACACTCTAAAATGAGGTAAACGATATTTTTTGATCTGGTTATTTAAATTTTATATTAACTTCAATTGTCCACTTTTTACCCAAAAAACTGAGTTAATCAAATTTTGTAAGCTAAAATAATAATTTTTAAATAATAATGACAAAGAATTCTTACATTATTTAGAGTTTTAACTTAAGGAAAGAAGAAATCACGATGAATAATCTTTGAGGCATCAAAGAGACATATTTAAAAATTATGTGTTTTCCGTGAAAGTTGAAGTGTAATGACTTTATTTGAATTCTAAATCGTCTACGCTGTTAGAAATTTCTCAAAAAAAAATACTTATACAACACTTTATTTGATTGTTATTTTAACATATTCAAAGAAAACATTCAAATAATCATAACTAAGATATAATTCAAACTGTTCACTGTGAGCAAAAATGCTTATTTACTGCTTTTACATTTAAACAACCAAAATTTAATCGCACCATAGATCTATGTAATGAAGCCACTTAGTTTTTTGCAGATGAGTACGTATTATAGCCGTTCATTCTCATGAACGGATGTTTAAGTCCAAGTGTTTAAACTACAACATTTCCTCCATTCTTTCAACACATATGAAGATTTTTTCATTCCGTGTCCTGTACTTCCCGCAATTGTGAACCTGGGCAATTAGAATTATTGCAGCATCATGAAGTTGCTAAACTATCGTCAATGTCCAGTTAGATTACTTTTTTCTTGGTTTTCAAACATGATTGTTGTAAATGCTTCACAACAGCATAGTTTTGTATTCACCCTGTTTTCTAAAATCATAAAGGTAAAAAATTTTCTTTACCGTAAACTTTACTTTTCGTTGCATGGACAAACTGCTGCTAGCTATTTTTAACTAATGTTAGAATGAAAATTTTACATGTACAATTTAGTTAAAATCTTATCTCTCAGCTTTCTAAAACCTATCTTTTTCCATTCTGAGGAAAAAATACGAATATATAATTTTTTTTATATTTTAATTTGAAAAGAATATGTATTTTAAAATATGCATAATTGTACAAATATTTTTGTTCTATTTGTTTAGATAAACTTCAATCAATAAATGGAATTTGTTTCCTGTTGAAAATAGGAGTACGGAATAAAAGATGTTCGGAAAAGAATAGGTTTAAAAAAAATCAAACATTTACTAAAAATACTCGTAGGTATGTATAACAACAATTTTTAATGTAATAATATAATCAGAGAAGGTCCAAATAAAGTGAATTTAAGGAAAAAACAATGGAATGATATATAATTCATTAAAACCTAAATCCATGTTTAAAATTCATATTTATGCTAATGTATGTAGAAATGTTAAAAAAATTTAGCATTTGTAATAAAATAAAGTTAGATGCAAAAATGTATTTAAATTTTCTTTGAAACTTTATAAATAACAAGGGGTGATTACTTCTAGAGGAGTTAAGGCACATCATCCGAACTAAATTTGTATGGAAACTCATACCCGGAAAGGAGGTTTTGGGTTGCTTCCTATTATGACCTATTCAGAAGCATCGAATTAAACGGTTTTAATAAGAAAGCAACCCTAGCGGCTTATAACCACATTTCCAGGCATGAGTTTCTACGCAGTTCTTATCGTGATGACTTAACTCTCTTAGTAGTTCGCGGCAGCATTTGAGCCAGATATAACGTTTTTAAATTTCACAAAAATAGATTAAAAAAGCTTTGAAACTGTAACCTGGAGGGAGAAACTGATTGCAGATTTGATATCACCGATACAAAAGTATATAAGACACTTCGAGAAATATGCGAAAGAAAACAAAACAAATTTATTCCAATCCGGGTTTATTTTAGAAAATAATCATACTATAAGGTTTTTAGAAAATTGCGGCATTTAGAAACTGCAGCATATAAAAAGATTCAGACAAAACAAGTACCCCAATAAAATTTTAGAAATATTTTATCCTTTTGAACTATGAATTCATAAAGAACACACTTAACGGAACCGAATACTTTCCGGAAGTGTATTTTAAAATAGCATTTCTAAATTAGAAGAATGGTGATCACAAACAGAATACTTCTGTTATTTTCGTTAGACTCAAAATAGCACCACGTATATTCTGCAAACTGAAGCTCTGGATCCGCAGCTTAAGCAGAACGTACCGCCATTTTGGTAAAATCAACTCTCAATGTAGAAATACGGAAATCTATCCTTAAACGCCATTTTTTTTTTCAAAATTGGTTAATTGATGGTAAAATGGTGGCTTAGAGATCGTTTCCCCAATATGATCAGTTCAGAAGTACACCACAAAACAATTCGAAATAAGATCTAGCTTCTAGCGAATGAAGATATTACAGGGTTCCTATGCTATTTTAATCTCGTAGATGTGATCTAACTCCCTTTGAAGTCTGTTGCACCATTTTTGAGATCATTTTTAAACTTTATTTCGTCAAAAAATGTTCCTTAAAAACTGTAGTTTGGGGCGAGAAACCAATTGCAAATTTAAAATCAGTGAAATGAAAATATAAGATTTGTTAAAAAATCTCATGCAACAGAAAATTAAAAAAAAAATTCCCCTGTATAATTTCTCACAACAAAAAGAAAAACAGTTCTAAAAAAATTTCTTATTATTAATGAAAAGGTGTGTAAAAAAAGGTATTTATATCAACATAATCATTGCAGGTAAAATAAAATGACTTCCAGAAAGAAAATTCAGGCACCATGGCTGCCGAAGCCTGTTTGGTACAATTTTCCTATGACTAAAGGCCTCCGTCATCACCGAACAGCAGTTGGAATCATATTAGCTGCCAACAGTAAAATGGAATGTGTTTTCATGAGTCAGTTTCTTGACCAAATACGAGTACGTCTACTCAACGATGACCGTAAAACAGAAGGCAATTTTGCTGTTAACAATTCCCCACCAGGTCGAGCATCAACTGTCAGCATTAACTCCGTAAGTGTTCCATTCATAGATTGTGAGTACCTTAATGATCCTCCAGATTATAGTCGCGATATCAATATAAGCTATCCATCAAATTCAAAAATTCTTCCCATCTTTCGTTTTGGAGACAATTTAGAAGATTTCTTCAAACTCTGGGATACCCAAGATGCAGAATTCGCTTACGTAGAATCAGATTACTTTGGTCTCCTAATACCGAAAGTGGACAAAGAGACTGCGAGGAAGCTACCTGGTGGCAAAAATCTTAATCAGTTAATTACTTTCTACGACCTTATATTTACTACCTACAGTGACTTGATAGGGTTGTCATTTGAAGAAACTGGCACCAATAAGAACGTAAGAAACAGGTTTTTTCTGAAAGCTGACAAAAATGGATATGGGTTGGCATATTACGGTCACGAGTTTACGGCTGTGAATTCAGGATCAATGAAATCCTTCTGGTTGGATGTCAGTCCAACAAATTGGGGGGCGTTGCATGAAATAGGTCATGGACATGAATTACAAAGTATAGGCGATGAAACATTATCAGTTAGTGAAGTGTGGAACAATATTCTATGCTTCTTTTATCAAGTCATCGCGTTTGGAAAAGATATGCCATGGAAAGGTTCGAAACAAAATGAAATGAACCTTGCTGGAATACTCAGAAAAGAAACCGAAGTTGAGAGTTGGGATTTAATACAGAAATTGTCCTTTTTGACGCACATGTTTTTTAAAGCTGGTCGGAAATCTTTTACGCGTTTCAATCAACTGACTCGCGAAGAATTTGATGACCGTCCTTATTATGCTAGTGGAACATTCTTAGTAGAAAAACTGATGCACTTTTTTGCAATCGAGTTTGCTGTTGATGTTTATCCCTTTATGAAACTGGCAAAAGCAGCGATACGAGAAGAAGAGCTATATGAGCATTACTATGTTTTATCCAGTGTAGCCTATCCTCTGAATAACATCATAAGCGATCTCAAGGAAATGCATAATGTTTATTCCAATCTAGGTCTACTGTACTTATCTAGTTTGGTTACTCCATCAGATTTGAGTTACACTAAACTCAAAAATGATTTCACTGTTAACATAGATAGCCAAGTACTTGATGTCTTGTCCGGTAATACATTAAAACTGATGGATGGATCTCGAACTGTAACTGAGCAAAAAATTCTGAGTCAAAATATTGATTTTAAGGATGTACCTGTAGGGGTATACAAGATTTTTATTGAGCCAAATGCTAAGAATACAAAACTTGCCTATAATGATTTTTATGCCATAGTTCATGCCAATAAACCCAATAAACTACTCCTTTCAGCTAAGGTAATGAAGGAACCTTCTCTTCCAACTGACAAAATTAAATTTCTTGCGTACAGTGATGAAGAATTCGCAACTCTCACAGCAAATCCTTTAAAGAAATTAATAAAGTTCCGATTTTACAAAGCAAACCCTAATGCTTCTTTTAAATCCCAGACGTACGCAAGTGTAATTATAAAGAATCAGAAAAACGAAGTTATTTTTAGCAGAATTATAGAGGGCACTAGTAGTAACACTGGATCTTTCGACATACCTATGGAAGGAGAGCTGCAAATTGAAATATTTCACGCGGAAACACGGATTCGCCGCCTACAAATTGACGATCCAATGATGGATGTCATCATAGATCGTAATAGTTTGACAAACTATTTCACTGTAAATGAACTAGGCTTTCAAAACAAATACAAGATTTCACCGAAAGATTTGTTAGAAAAGAATTTCTTGAGGAAGATCGAATTTAAAGCAAGTAAAATTAAAAGTAAGATGTCCTTGTATGTAAGACCTCATTGCCAGCCCAAATATAATATACTTTTAGCTGTGGAAACTTTTGAACGTTTGTTCAGGAATAACAGCGTCGATAAAAGTCTGAGAGATCAATACAAAGATTGTTTGCCATCCTCTTAAAATAGCAACCTTGAAGTAGAAAATGTGAATGATAATTAAAACAAAATCTTTGCTTTTTTTAAATTAAAAAATTATTTAATTTCTTATTTAACTTACTTTAAACTTCAAAAAAATTATTCAAGAAATTTAAGAGAAGGGCACAAAGAAAGGGAGAAGTATGACTTGAAAGGAACTTACAGATCTCTTAAAAAAGTAGAAGACATCTAATTTCAATTCTGAACTTAATTCCATTATTCCTATTTCCCTTCAGTATTTTACTGTAAACGTATAAGCAATATCGATCAACTCGATCTTTTATAAATATTTTTAATTTGTTTCATTTTAAATTACATTATATTGATTGTCTGTCATTATAGAAACTAGAATATTTTTAAAATCTTGACAGAACGCAATTTTTATTTTCCAAAAATTCTATGTAATAAGTTTCTCAATGACGAAATAATGTATGCTATTTATGAGCTGATTTGTTACATGTTTTACTTCTATGCATTGCAATTTACATTTTTTGAAAAATTCTATCAATTAGGTTCCTAATAATGTGAAGTTTTTTAATATTTGGTCATTGTTTTTATATAATTGATTTTTTTCCCTACAACGCAATTTATATTCTTCAAGAGTTTGTTTCAACGTTTTTTTTTTATAAAATGATGAAATGTTGAAAATTTCAATATAAACTCTGATATATTTTTAGAAACTATTTGTGATGGAACTTGTATACTTCTAAAAGTTCAATTGATAATTTATGCTAATTACAACACATTTTGTGTTAAAATTTTGAAATCTATTTATAATACGATATTTATTTTTTGAATTATTTAATTTATAATTATGATATGTTTTAAAACTTAATAAAGGTTTAATAATAATGATAAGATGTTGTATGTTTTATGCGTGTAATGAACAATTGAGATAAATTTAGCGTACTAATTCCCTGTTAATGAGAAATAGATTCGAATTGTAATTTGTATACACTATGAGCATTTTTTACCATAATGCTAAACTACGTGTTTTGCCATTTATGTACATTTTAAAATCCTTGTCAGTAGTGAAGTCTATAATGTAAAATGTAAATTGCTGTCCGCATGAAACAAATTCTTCCTGTTTTGAGAGGTTAATTTTGAGACTGATATAGAGAGATAATGCAGCATAATGTATTTTCTCTCCCTTAATCGAATCTGACTAATTACGAATCTAAAGGGCTAATATTTTAAAAGTTGAAATAATTTTTTTTTTAATGGAAAGAACCATTTTTCAGTTGCACGGATTATCCTCATAACTTTAGAACTATTAAACCTATCAATTCGAACTTTATCTCAATCAATTAAGTTTTAAAATTTTTATCTGAAAACGCAAATTACTTACTTGTTCGGGTAGTAATCTTAAAGTTACACAAAGTAATTAGAAACGCAAAGTCTCACTTAAGTATTATTAGCGTTTTCATACTAGACAGCAACATCGCATATAGTTAACTATCCGATATTCTTTGTTAAATATCCAAACAGCAACGTATCAACCATCTTGCAATTACAGTTGTAGTTATATCCATTTAGTTTATTATCCTTGAAGATATTAAAATTTAAGTAAGAATAAAAATATTCAATGTTTAAAAACTATGTCATTAATAACCTTAAATGACAGGAAAACAATGATCTAAGTTAGACAAAATCGAAGTTCTCTAGGATAAAAGTTAGAGAAAATCTCTCCAAATTATCCTGGTGAACACTTAGGCATATTCAAAAAGGAAATTATTATTTCTTTTTAATCGTTCAAAAAATAAGTATAGGAATTTTCTCGGTTCTCGCGGTTTGAGGGAAAAACTTGAAATAATAATTCTTGTATGCTTCGATCTAAAAATAGAATCGAAAGGCGGAAGCTAATAATGAAATATGAGAATTCGTTTAATTTTCAATAGTAAATTAGGAAGGAGAATTAATATGAAGAAATAACATAAAAAGATTAGTTTGAACTTTTTATGCCATACCCCAAAGTGTGAATTACTATCTAAAAAATTTAAGAAAAAAAATGCCATTTACTTGCAACACTAGGAAAACTTTGTGAAAAGCACCATTAAGATGGAAAAAGATTTGTAATACATAGGGAACCTTTGTGAAAAGCACAATTAAGATGGAAAAAGACTTGTAATAATTAGGGAAACTATGTGAAGAACACATGAAAAAGACACCTACAATCAACATATAAAACTAAAAAAATGGCAAAAAACACACTTTTGTAAACTTATAAAAATTTGCAGAGTTAAAATGTTATGGAGAAAAATTCTATATTAGTGTTACGAGAAAATTGAAGAATTTTAAATTTTAGCAGTTTTTTAGACTTTTTTCAGTGTAGAAGTTGTTTCTTTAAAGACCATTTTAAAAATTTTGTCTACGAAATATAATTCATCATAACAACACAGTTCAAAAAAATAAATTCGATCAAAATGGAAAATTTTTATAAACATTTCAAAAAGGAAAAAATTCGAAAACATGAAATGCAAAAAAAGAAAAAAATGACATATTTCGTTATTGGAAAGAAAATTCAATCTCACATTAGACTTCAGATTATTATCAAAAAAATTTACGCATCGGTAGTAATTCTGAAGTTCAGGACTTTAGCGCTTAAGAAAATGACTTCGAAAAATTTTTTTTGACAAAGGATGAGTAAATGGGACAGTGTCAAGCATCAATGAAAAATTTAGTTACAGAGTGAGAAGTCAAATTACATTCATAAGTTACTTCTTTTAATAATTTAGGCTAAGAAACTATTGAAATTTTTTTTGAGGTAAGAAAGAAACATTTGTTTCCCCAGAAACAGATACAGAGTCCTCAAAAAATTCAAAGTCTGGCACTTCTGTGGATTTAAATGTAATCAAAGCTCGTCTTAAAATCTGAGGTTTCTTACAAGCGTTTTACTTAAACTGGTTTTGATAATATAACATTTGAGATTCTTTAGGTTTGTTTGTAGCCTGGGCAGGTTCTTAGAGAGGTTTATTGAAATAATAGCCTGTTACGATATCCCCCACTTTTAATGGTTCGAGATCCACATGAAGCATTATGTCGTAATAACGCTTCTGCTCCATCAGTTTTTGTTTCAAAAAAATTTATTATAATATATTATATGAGTACATATGCATAAATTTTAAAAGCTTGTTTTACATACTGTTAAGAGATACTTTAAGTTATGTTATTAAAGATTTTAACATTTAAAAACTTGTTGCAAATTGAAATCTTGGTTTTTAATTATCTATATAGCAAATGAACAGGGAATAAATGAAGTTTTGAAGTATGAGTGCTCCTGCATTCAATGATTGCTTATACCCATTCTTCATAGTACAGTATTAATCTTCAAATGCTTTTCTTTCCATAATGGGTTTTGCATTGCCAACAGCCATCTTATTTTTTTTATCATAGTTAAACTTGTATGGCAATTGAAAAACAATTTTCTTAGTGGTTGTATCCATGGCGTCTTGGAGCATTAAATCTTAAAGTTTGAAGTATCAAGAAAAAAATTTTGTCTAATTATGCTTATAGGTGTCTTAATAGTTTTGTTTGTAGAAAATTCTTCCAAATTTAATTGTTGTTTTACTACCACTTTGTAAAATCTTTCTCAATAATCCCACAAGTTGGCAGGGGCAGTTATGCTTTTAGTTTATCGTGGACTATACTCAGAATCCTGCTCTTATGCAAAACTTTTAAATTCATAAATATTGAAGGGACATTTATAACAATGGACAGAATTCCATATCTTGAAAATAGGTTTGCATTTTTTCACTAGTATCAGTAATTGTTTCATTATTTAGCTTAATCCTCTCAATTTATTTAGTTTGATAACATACAATAACTTACATCTTGAAAGCTCAATATATCTACAATTTTTTTACAACACTTTTTGTAGGCAATGAATGCGCTAATAAAAGTTCTTTAACGTTAGATTATCGAAGCTATTTATGAACTACCCATTTTAAAACTCACAACTCTATGCCTTTTGACATTTTATATCCTCTAGATCGATCATTACTTTTCTCAACAGAAAATGGCACTATTTCATTGTATCAGGACATAAAATAACTGATTTTGAATCTCCGAGGAACATTCATCAATGTAATATAGTTCCCTTATCTGACACTAAAAACATGGGTATTTTTTCTATCTATAGCTATAGTCATCTATATTGCGATACCTGCAAGTGACGTAGTCTCTTGATCCTGATTGGTTTTTAAACATTTGAGATTTTATCGTTCTTTCAATTCTGTTTTGAGTAAACCAAGGAAGTCAAATATCAGTTCTCTTAAGTAGCACATTCCATTTTATTTCACAAAGATTCTTCCTGCTTCACCATATATTTCTTACTGGGAAACTTCGATGAATAATTCATTTGTTTATATTCTGCATAGATTCGTGCCTATCTTTGTGCTAAGTAAAATTTGAAATCTTTGCACAAGAATCTTTGTGAAAGAATATAAAATGAATCATTTTAAGAGGATTGATATTTGATGGGCTCGGCGTACTCAAAATAGAGTAGAAAGATCAGTTGTTAACCAAGCGAATGCCACGTTTCGATAACTAATCATCCTCATAATGCTCACACATTCACGGGTGGCAGACGACCCGCATGCGAAGTCGAGCACTTTACGGTAGAGCAGTTTAACGAGAACCAATACCGCACACCCTCGGTCCCTACGCAGACAAATCCGAGTGGTCGTCACCCACCTGCACATTGACAGCAGCCATTGATGCTTGACTTCGGTGATGTGCTGGGAACCGCGCCTTATCCACTGCGGGACTTCTTCCATCATGGGTCAGGGAGAGAGAATCCTGTGTTTATTTTTCGAGAAATAAACACAGGATTCTCTCTCCCTGTGTAAAAGATTTTTTTCTTTCTTAAAAAATTACAAGCTGTCTGACTTTCTAAGGGAAAAGTTTTCACATCCTTAAATATTAACAAAATCTTCTAATTACACACCTGCTTAGTACCACATTTTATTGTTTACAACCAGCTTAACTGAATGATACTCGAGTGAAAGAGGCACTAATAAGGAGGCTTGTTTGAAGTACACTGTAAAAAATTCTGGATCAAATTACGTTATAAATTACTGGCTCTTAAGTATACACCATCCATAAAATCCATTTTTAATGTTAAATATTATACCGTAATTTTTTACAATAATATTTATTTAATTTGAGATTTAATGATTTTAAAGTAATTATTACTGTAAAAATTAGCAGTTCATCAGTTTCTTGATCAGTAACATGTTAGGTAAAAATGGAATTTACCGTAAAATGTACCACCATTCAGGATGTAGGCACTTTTTACCGTGATTTGATACATAATTTTTTACAGTATATATAAAATTCCTCTTAATAAAAACTTCTTTTATTACTGCTTTAAAATCATTTTTGTTT